GGCTCCTGCCTGCATGGCTGCAGCTGGGCTTGGCATCAGCTAGAGCGGGAACCCTGGGCCAGGGGGATGTCCCTTTCCAGGACACAACCCTGGATGTGTCTGTGGGCACCTCAGAGCAGGGAGGGGGTTTGGTGAACCCCCAGCAGCTCCAACGTGCCCAGCACTGGGGCTCACAGGAGAGCGGTGTGGGAGCCCAACAGCCCTCCCACAGCTCTGCTCTGCTACAGCAGCCCCGTGAGGGATCCTGCACACACCGGGGCTCATGGTGGGGTGTCACCCTGCCCACCCAGGGGTGGGCATCCAGGGTGCCACACACTGCACCCCGCACACCCTGGGGTGCACACAGTGCTCTGCCCAGTGTACCTCACCCAGCACCCTGCACTGCAGTACAGCTGTGTCCGTGGCAGGGAGCAGGGCTGGGGGTCCCAGGCGTTTGGTGCAGGCAGGGTGGGAGCAGGGAGCGAGGCCTGCGGGGCAACGAGGTTTTGGGCAGCAGGGGTGCAGAGTGTGTGGGGAACAGGGGCGCATCACGCTGCCACGTAGCTGTTCTTGTAGGGGCTGTGCTCGTGGGGGGCAGTTGGGACCCCCGGCATCGGCGATGGCACGTGGTTGCTGCTTTCCCAGAGGGGCTCGTAGCTGTCCTTGGGGGGAAGCTCGCTCACGTAGCAGATGTTCTCGCTGTAGTTGGGTTTGAAGCTCTCTACGACATCTTTGGGGACTCCAGCCCATTCCTCCGAGGAGCAGAGCAGGGTGAGAGGAGCCACCAGCCAGCCTAGCCCCAAGCCCACGGGGTAAGGGGTGAGCCTGGGGCAGGGCTGCCCAGAGCTGACTTACCTGGAAGTTGCCATTGTGGGTGATGAAGAGCTCATCGAAGTTCTTGCTGGGGTTGGGGATTCGGGGCATGAGGATGACCCATATCCTGCACGGGAGAGATGTGTCAGAAGGGAAGGGCCCCAGCGCTGCTGCCCCCCTCCAGCTCCCCACACTCACCTTTCCATGCGCACCAGCAGGACAACGAGGACCAGCAAGATCAGGCAAGAGGCAATGGGGATCAAGACTGTGTGGATCCAGAACCAGTGCAGCTGCTCCTCCACCATGCCTGGAAAGAGCCAGGGCGACCATGGGAGCTCGGCATCATCTGTAGCAGGGCTCAGCTGGGAGTGGAGGATGGAGACGGGCTCATGCCCAACCCAAGCCCTGCCACATTGTCACCACAACGGACTGGTGATCCTGTCCTGGACCAGACATGCCAGAGCAGCCCTCCAGGGCAAAAAAACCCCTGGCAAAAGTCAGCAGGTCTCGCTGGCAGGGGGTGTGTGGCTTCCAGAAGCACAAAGGATGCAGGGGCCGATGCCACTGCCTGCACCCCGGGTACCCATATGGGTCTTGCCCCAACAGTCACTGCCTTGGGCCACTTTGCCACTGGGTTGGCCATCCCTCACCTGCTGAGCCCTGCTGAGCCCTGCCGTGCCCCAGCCTGTCCTGTCCCACCGCAGCCCCCAGGACCTACCCTTGCTGGTGGAGTTGCTGCCCCAGACCACGGGGATGCTCCACTCACTCCAGAGCTGGGTGCTGCCACAGTAGCTGTTGATCTTGCTGCGCACGTAGAAGGTGTAGTACTTCTCGTAGTCCACGCTGGGGAAGGAGAAGATGTCTCCTGTCACCCGGTGCTCCTGCAGAGAGACGTGGGCCATGTGACAAGGGCCAGCACTGCCATGGAGGCTCGTCCTCAGGCACAACTATGGGAGTGCCACGTTCAGGGGGGTTCTCACCGTCCAGCTGGTGTCCTTGTTGCTCTTGTACCTGACGGTGTGCTCCAGGCACTGGGCTTTGGGGTACGGGGAGGTCCAAGTCAGCTGCAGCTGGTTGCTGCCCATGTTGCGGATGGTCAGGTTGACGGGTGCCTTCGGTTTCACTGCAAAGCACAGGTAACACCTGGTCAGTGCTATCCCCATGCCCCGGTGGTCCTGCCACCAGCCAGGACGTGATGGAGCAGTCTTGGGGATCCACGGCCCCACAGCAGTCCCACAGGGGAGAGTGGGTGCCCCTCAGTGCTCCATACCCAGGTCCTGCAGCTCCATGCGCTTGCTGCGGATCTCCAGGGTCCTGTCACCAAGGCTGGCATTGAGGAGGACGTGGAAAGGCTGGAACTGGATGATCTCGCTCTGGTTGAAGTGGCAGCCGACACCGACCCCCCGGGCTTGCCGGGAGGGCTTCACAGGGGATCTGTTCTCGTACCTGTGCCGCAGCAGGTTATTGGGCTCCCCGAGACCCCACAGACCCCAGACCTCCCCGGGACCCCTCTCCCTTGGTACATCCCATCCCACTTGCCCTGGAGACAGAGCCTCCCCCACCCTGGGTTTGGGGAAGAGAAACAGGCTGATGCCAGAACCAGTGATGCTGGCAGGAGCCCCCCAGGCAGCGACCCCCCTGCTGTGGGGCTGGCTGTGGGGCAGGGGCACCTACCAGTAGTAGAGGGAGTAGTTGGCGGTGAGCGTCTCTCTGCTCCCCCACATGCAGGTCATGTACTCCTCGTTCAAGAGGACACACTCCACACCTGCAAGGGACAGACACCTCTGGGCACTGCGCCAAGGCCCAGGGCTGCACCGTGGAGACACGGCATGTGCCAGCAGTCCCTGCACATCCCCATCAGCCTTCCCCCACGGGAGCCAAACAAGCCCAGCTCTATCTGGCGGAGCTGCAG